CTTACAAATAAGGTAGGAGTGGAGGAAAGCATCATACTGGAGAACAGTTAAGGCAAAACTGGGAACCAGTTAAAAATAAAAATAAGAGTTAGGAGTGGAGGAAAGCATACACTAGGTAACAGTTAAAGCAAAACTGTGAACTAGCCAAAAAATAAAAAGTTAGGAGTGGAGGAAAATATACCTGGAGAGCAACTGAAATATAGTTGTGAACCAGTTAAAAATAGAGGTTGGAGCAGAGGAAAGCATTGCTGGAAAGCAACTATCTGAGTTCTGAACCAGTTTTATAATAGATTTAGGAGGATTGAAGGAGATAATGTTGGTATGCAGTTAAAATTATACTGTGAACCAGCTTAAATAAGTAAGGTTAGGAGTGGAGGAAGGCATCGCTGGAAAGCAATTGATTAAGATGCGAACCAGCCAAAAAATAAACTCAGGAGGAAGTGGAAGAGACAATACTGGAGAATAGCTAAGCCAAACTGTGAACCAGTTAAATAAATAGAGATAGAAGTGGCGAAAAACACTGTTGGGAAATAGCTATTTAAATTATGAATCAGTTAAATATTAGACTTTAAAATAAAGTATTTTGGGAGTGACAAATTCTAGATGGAAATGTTGATTGATTTAGAAACAATTAAGAGAGGAGGAAAATATTCTTTGTCAAGATTATGGATACTAGTTGCCATTTAAAAGAGGTACAATATAGACTCGATGTAATAGGTCTTAGAAATGAGGAATATATATGAAATATTGATTGTTAAAATGAAAAAGATTTGGAATGATGTCTATTTGGAAATAATTGTTTAGAATTTAGGGTAACATAGTAGAATGTTTAAAATCTAAATGTTTAGAATAAGATTTTTTTTCTTTTTTTTTTTTAAGAGGTAAATGGATAAAATTTGGAACAAAATTGGTTGAGGGAATGTGAGTAATTGTATTTACTTTATACCGGATCAAATCCTTGCTCTAAAAAGATGTATTTTATATTTTATGTTTTAAAATATAAAAAAAACTTTAAAAAAAAAGAATTCCAGCATTACTTCATGCAGCTGTATTATTCTTTTGACTTATTTTGAAAAATGAGACTTCTCTATTGATTAAATTGGTAAAGAATTGATTATCATATTTTACCTTTCTTCACAATTTGTAAGGGAAAGTTGGAAGCTACACAGATTAGTAATCTCAATTTATTTTATGTTCCTCTGAATGCCCTGACATCACATTCCCCTTAATGTTATTTATTCTGGAGTATTGAAAGAATTGCATTTAGTAGACTTTGTATTGTACAATTAGATGTTGAAAACAGATTACTGTATACGTGTCAAAGTCCTGTACTTTATAAATGTGTAAAGTATAAATGAAATAAGTTTTCTACAAAACTGATTTGAATTTAGAATTGTTCGGATAATTCATTAACTGTATTTTTAAAAAATGAAATAAATTTTAAGTCATATTGAATTTTCTGTAAAACACAATGTATAAAAGCTGAATTACTTTATACTATTTTAATAGCAACAGCACTTAGACTTATATACTGCTTTACAGGACTCTCTAAGTTAGGGTGTCAAACTCAAGGCCTGCAGACCGGATCTGGCTCATGGGGTCTTGGATCTGGCCTGTGGGACCACCTTGAAAACAGCAAAAGACCAGCCTTTGGTGCCTTTCTCAGCATAAACAGAGCTCAGGAGGGCCACATGTGGCCCTCCCAAGCTCCATTTTCACTGGAAGAGAGTTGCAGAAGGCCATCACATCCAAAAATGGAGCTCAGGAGCCTGCTTTCGCTGGCAGAGCACTCGGCCCACCACAGATGCTCTCAACACGAGTGATGTCGAGCTGACTATGCCCACCCTGGCCACACCCACCCTAGCCCTCCAAGGTCAAACACAACCCTGATGTGACACCCCTCCTCTAAGTGGATTACAAAGTTAGCATACTTCCCCCAACAACCTGGGTCCTCATTTTCCAAACCTTGGAAGGATGGATGGCTGAGTCAACCTCGAACCAGTTAGAATTGAAAATTCTGACAGTTGACAGAGTCAGCCTGCAATACTACATCTAACCACTGTGCCACAACAGCTCACAAGTTTAAAAACATTTGCAACAATTAGCATATGCTAGTATATTTTAACTTGTTTTAATGAAATATGCTGCTTGCCTTATTTTAAAATTCAAGGGAAAGCCATTTTGCAAAGATACATTGTGATATTTGCAAACTTTTCATCCTTTTCTTCTCCTATTACTGAAAACACAAATATGAGCTCAGAAAAAGGAGAGATGCTTGTAAAAGAGTGGAAATTGGTCAGAAAGTCATCCCTGGTACACCTCTGCAGGTGAAAAAGAAAATGACAACTGGGTTGGATGCTTAGGCACTAATGGATTAAGGCAGTATTTCTCAACCCTAGCTGCTTTAAGAGGTCTGGACTTCAGTTCCCCAAATTACCTAGCCAGCAGAGCTATCTGGGGAATTCTGGGAGTTGAAGTCCATATACTGTATCTTAAGGTGGCTAAAGTTGAGAAAGATTGGGCTGAGGCAAGGAACTATCCCTTTAGAAAGAATCTCTAAAGAAAGAGGCAATGAAGAAAAATAAAAAAGCATCTGAGGAGTCAATTCATTTGGATTCTTCCTTGTTTCAAAAGGCCATTATTGCCAACTGCTATGTGCAAAGAATCATAGATGTTTGTTGTATGTTTGCTTTAAGTGCTATAGTATTTTTGTGCTTTTATATACAATTGTCTATATACCTTGTAAGTAGCTTTGGAAAATTGTCAGCCTAAAAATTGAAATCAGTATTATCACCATTATTATAACTATCATCATCTCCTTTTCCTCTATCTCTTCCTCCTTGCCATCATAGATAATTATCAAAGTTAATATTAAAATACTCGTAAAAGAATTTTTAAATCAATATAGCCAACAGCATCTCTTGTAAGAGTGAATTATGTAATAATTATAAATTCAGATTTTATTCTTATACATATTAAATGATCCATTTTGCATTTTCAATTTATATTAATTTATTACCTGCTGAATATTGTTTTAGACATGTGAAGAAAAATCCTTATAGCACATACAATAATATAGTCAATGCAAGTTAGCAATTTGCAATGCAATTTTCTGGGATAAGGCATTTTCTGTCATGGAGGCATCAAGATGCTTTTCATCCATTTTCTCAAAACTTCTTGGCAGTCCTTTAAGAAGAAACCTTTTTCAGTTTCAACTACACTGCTGGGCAAAAGGTTCCAGAAGAGAGATTCCAAGCCAAGAATTCTGCCCCTTTGAAGATCTGCAGTTACAGTACTTACACCACTACAAAATTTCATCAGATGGTGATACAATATGAACCCCTTAGTGCAGGGGTGTCAAACTAGATTTCATTGAGGGCTGCATCAGGATTGTGTTTGACCTCGGAGGTGGGCGTGGCCAGGGTGAGTGTCACTCATGTCGGGGGCGCTTGTGGTGACCCAAGCACTCTGCCAGTGAAAACGGAGCTCCATTTTTGCTGGCAGAGGGTTGCAAGAAGCTGTCACAGCCAAAAACAGAGCTCGATAGGGCTGAGTGTGGCCCTCCTGTGATCCATTTTTGCTGGTAGAGGCACTGTGGACTGGTCCTTCGCTGTTTCCAGAGCAGCCCCATGGGCCAGATCTAAGCACCCACAGGCTGGATCTGGCCCATGGGCCTTGAGTTCTATTCTATTGCATAGAACTATTCTATTCTATTCTATTCTATTGCAGTGTTTCTCAATCTTGCCAAGTTTTAGATATGTGGACATGCATCCACCTAAGACTAGCCTGGGAGAAGAGGAGATTTGTATCAGATTTCTCTGCCCAAAGCACCCAAGGATCCCAGGCTTGAAATCTTGATGAGATCTATGGTGATTATAACAGCAAATTCTTAAGGAATCTAAATTTGCAAGTTATTTTTAGCAGCATTTTAAATAATTGTTGAAGTATTTATTCATTTAAACACTGATATAGCCACTTATTCTATATTGAACTCCAAGCAGCTCCTCACCAACAATCAAAACATTATCAAAAATAAATTAACCTAACATGTACATAAATCTATTAAAAACTCCAGACATTAAAAACCTACTATTATTACCATTAATAATACTATTAATGCTTTCCCTACAAAAATACACAGAAAAAAATCATTTAATCATTTTTTTCAACAAATGGCAGACTAATTTTTCTCCCATAGTTTATTCTTGCCTATTATATTTATAGAATGTTCTATATTCTATAAATATAGAATATTTGTAAGATGCCACAATATTGTGAATTAATTAATATAGTATATATGAGAAAGTTTTTTTTTAATAAAGCTGTAGTGGATGCAGAACTGAACTGAATGCATCATTATTGATGAGAATTGAATTCTGGATGAAGAGAAATAAAATCAAATGAAAAAATATTGTGATAAAAAAGTTACAGAAGATCTGTTATCTTTGTTTCAAAGCATAAATGCCATCTAGTGGAAGTACAAAATTATAAAACTATATGGTGCATTTTATTCAGAGATCTAAAATCACTGAAAAAATGGGCATAATAACAGCATGCTTATCTTTAACAGTTCATTAAACAATACAAAATTACAAAAGAGTCTATGGAGATTCTCAGTCAGGTCATGGTTGTCCCAAAGGTGCTTTTTTAAAGAGGCAACTGGACTTTCTGTTTTTTCTTTGAAGGCATTTCACTTCTCATCCAAGGAACTAGAAAAAGACCTTGTAATAAAAACATTATTTACATTTGCCAGAAAATTCATAAGGGAAGATTTCATTCGTATTCTTATAAATTCAAATTTCATTAAAAAAAAAAAAAGCAGACGCATGTTCAGTTTAGGTTTTTAAAGAAACTTGGATTAATTTAAACATGTTTCTAACCTTGATGACAAATCTTAGGGTTAGATGATGAGTGATAAAATCCAGAGGTGGATTTCAGAAGCTTGGAACAGAGTACTGAATGATACATTGGCCTTATTCTATACAATTTTCTTTCTCTAGGCAGAGATTGGAGCAGCCTTACCTTCCATAATACAAGCAATTTATTTATCTTCTCCATTGCCAGAAGAACATGAAGAAGAAGCATCCACATTCAAACTTATTGATGGTTCTTCACATCATGAACCAGAAGTTTCCAAGTCACATTATGGTGAACTTCCGTTTAAAATAAACTTAGAACTTTGTCCAAGCTGGACTCCCAAATTGTTATCTTATTTTTTTGTTAAGTATGCAGTTTAGCAATTATGTTCATTTGGATAAATCAGGTTGACTATTTTTATTATCAATCCCTGAAGAGTAAGTTTAAAGTTTAAGTCAGGATACACATTAAGTTTAAACTTTATTCATATTAGACATCACTCGTTTTGTTGATTGGATCACACTAGAGAAAGTAGCTCTAGCAATTTATTGCCTTTTCTATGGCATGTAAGTATTTCAAGAATCACTTCCTAGACAGGCCCTTTGCAGAACTATATTATCCCAGATGTCTCATGTTGTCTTATCTTATCCTCAGGTCTACACTGCTGCTGTCTTCTCCAAACAGAAACTGGAGAAAGGGAGACAGCTGCTTAAAAGAAATTAGAGTGTATGGCAACTTTTAACTTGGAAGAGATAAACAGAAATAAAGTGAATAGTATAAATAGAGAGGTATTAGTTTGAAGTTCACCAGAAAGAAAGAAAGTATGTCTATAAATACAAATGGAAATATTTTTCCACTTAGCCCAAACATACTCATAAAGACTATCTTGCATTTTAAACAAGGGATATATGCATATATTGGTGCATATATTCCAATACCAAAAGACTCATGTATAATAATTTCATTATAATAGTTGTCAATATTCCTGTGGTTCAAACTACAACAAAGATGTACTGACAAGAATGCAGTGAACCACCACTGAGACTGTAGTTTTGCCTTTAAGACATTTTTTAAGAATACATATAAAGCTTTGGATCGACATCTATATTAAGTGGGGGAGGGAGAGACATTATTTTAATTTCTTTTATCTCTACACATATCACCCACTGTGGTGTGAGATGTCATGCTAGCAACATGACTGTGGAAATATTTTCAGACAGCAGTGATTCAATGGCCTTGAAACGGAGATGAGTCTTGCCATTAAAGTTGGCTATGACTAATGGAATAAAAGCTGCAGAGACTCCTTTACCTTTATCTAGACATACTTAAATGTTAACTTTCCTCATCATGTTACAATAAAATAATCCAGAGATTTCAAAGTGGTGCAAACCAATTATGATTTTTTAAAAAAATATCTATGCACAACATAGAAATAGATATGCTATGCATACCAATAGCATAAAACATAGACACCATTCCATATTCCTAATTTTAAATAACCCTTGAAACAATTTTGCATCCCAAGGTAATTTCGTTCTTGTTTTATATTTTAGCTGTTTCAACTTGTTTTCTCTGTACCTGTCTGGGTACCTCAATATACTGTGATGATCGTGAACTAGAAATTATTCCACCCTTGCTTAAGCAAACCACTCATTTCTATGCTCGCTACAATAGAATAAAGAAGATAAGGAGAAATGTTTTTGCTCACCTAGGTATGCTGATAACTTTTCTAAATTTTATTTTTAACATGTACTGTAATACAAAGAATTTGATGAGACTGAATTATTAATATATATGATGTGGCATCTTTTAGGTAGTAGGTAACAAATGTTTATTTGAGCCATGGTGATGCAGTGGTTAGAATGCAGTATTGCAAGCTACTTCTGCTAACTGACTGCTGCCAGCTGGACAGCAGTTTGATTGTCACTGGCTCAAGGTTGACTCAGCCTTCCATCCTTCTGAGGTTGGTAAATGAGGACCCAGATTGTTGGGGGCAATATGCTGACTCTGTAAACTGTTTAGAGATGACTGTAAAGCACTGTGAAGCGGTATATAAGTCTAGTGCTATTGCTATTTAAGAGTTTGAACTAATGTTTTAGAACCATTTCTACTACAAAATATTGTTAGCTTCCCCCTCCCTACCCAAGCATTAGATATTAAACCAGTCAGAAATTCTAAGAGTACTTTTACTATTTCCTTGTTTTATTTTCTTGGCAAAGCAACCTGAAAAAAATTGATTTGACTTCTAATTTCATCTCAGAAGTGGATGAAGATGCCTTTAGAAATTTACTACAACTTCAGGAGCTGATACTTAGAGATAATAAAATAAGTCAACTTACAGAATTACCAGCAACACTTACATTCATTGATATCAGCAATAACAGGCTTGGTCGCAAAGGGATAAAGCCAGAAGCATTTAAAGTGAGTCCCTTTGCTTGATTTTAAAAATTCTCCCAATTGGGAAAATGATGTGTACTAACCAACAGAGGAGCAAAAGGTGGAATTTATAGGATGAGAGTCTTCCTGGATTTGGGGTGCTATTACAGCCAAAAAAAAAAAAAGGGCAGACAATTCTGATTTATGCAGAACTCAGACAGTTCTAAATCATGTAGGATAATGTCCTCTAGTGATTTTGAACAGATTATGCTAAATTCATCTAGGGTTAGGGTTAGGGTTACGGTTGTGCAAAAAACCCTCTCAGTGGGTTGCAGCTCATATCTATGTATGCAAATACATGCTTACAAAGACATTATTTGACATTACAGCTGTGAATATTGGCAAAATTAGACCTAATCACGGAGGTGATCATTTTTATCAAATTTCAATGTAAGCACTTTAGAAATGCAACCAGTCTATATCATGTATATATACAAATTTTATATGTGTTTTCCTCAAACCAGATTAAGATGGAAGGAACAGAACAAGAATCAAGTCAAGGATCACAACTTTATTTAATTAACCAAGGCATATTATGCAGGGTATTAGTTCCTCATCCTAAGATTATAAGTCTTTTTTCTAGATGCCTCTAATGCCATTTCCTTTGATGCTCTGTTTCTTTCAATGCACATCTGTTAAAATTTTTGTATCTGAAGTAAATAAGAGTTTATTATCTCTTTTAGCTTCTTCTTACTGTTGGCATATTTAAAGAAACTCTTCTTCCTAGAATATCATGCTTCATTTTGACTGAGATGAATAGAAATCCCTTCTATACTTATGGATTTTTCCCCTTTTCTGTAGGATATGATTGACTTGCACCATCTTTATATCACTAGTAATAATTTGGATCACATCCCAGTTCCACTCCCTGAAAGTCTCCAATCTCTTCATCTGCAAGTATGACATAATTTTCATTGTATTTTGGCTTCATTGTATATGTGTGTGTGTGTGTGTGTGTGTGTATACACACACACACACACACACACACACACACACATTTTTGATTACAAACAACACAATCTCATTTGGAAAATAGTAGATGCTTAAATCTGATTAATGTATGTGTGCCTTCAAGTCACTCTTGGATCCTGGGAAATGCATGAGCAAGTTTCCATGATTTTGGAAGTGACTTGACATTGCCTTCTTCCTAAACTGGGAAAGAATTACTGGCCTAAAGTCACCCAGTTGGCTTTGTTCCTAAACTCTCATATTTTCTAACTCAGTGCCTTAACCAGTATACCAAACCGACTCTCTCAAAAATACAAATTCTAAATGGTAAGTTTTATTGAAAAAGTTTTACAAACATCAATTTTCCCCCATTTTTTCCCCACCCCATCCCTCCCTTAACCCCCCAAACCCTGCCCACCCCCCATGACTTCCCCAAGGTGAAATCTATCCGCATTTATTATATCAGAGTTTACCACCCCTCTATTCTCCCCCCCTGTGTACTATACAATTTTTCATGACAATAAGCTATTTTGCCCCCTCTAAACTATACATTTCTACACAACATTTAGCTAAAAGCTATCTGGTACTTCCTAGTTTGATATTTATTCTGCACATAATCTATCCATTTCTTCCACTCCCATGCATATGTCTCTTGAGTCCGATCTTTTAAGTATGCTGATATCTTCGCCATTTCTGCAAAACTGGCCGTCTTCAAAGTCCATTCTTGAATTGTAGGCATATCATCCCTTTTCCAATATTGACCAATCAATAACCTAGCTGCTGTCACCATATACAGTATCAATTTTGTTTTCCCCACTGAAAAACCCTTAACTATACCCAATAAAAACAATTGAGGAGAAAATTGATTTTTTTTCTTCAGGACATTTTGCATAACCCACCAAATTTTTATCTAAAAAGCCTTTACTTTCTTGCATGTCCACCATATATGATAATATGTAGCATCTAAGCAATCACATCTCCAACATTTCAGTTGAACATTAGAATACATGCATGACAATTTCTTAGGATCTAAATGCCACCTATAAAACATTTTATACAAATTTTCCCTCAAATTCTGCGACTGTGTAAATTTAACATTCTGAACCCATATTTTTTCCCAAGTTTCCATCATAACTGGTTCTCCGAAATTTTCTGCCCATTTTATCATACAATCTTTAACCAATTCATTTTCTGAATTTCTTTCTAACAAAACATTATAAACCCTCTTAATATGCATTGGGCCTTTCTCTTTTATCTGTCTAACCAATTCTTCTTCATGCAACATTAATCCAATTTTTTGATCTTCTCTCCATCTCAGTTGAAGTTGATTATACTGTAACCACCTTAAATTAATCCCTTCTTCCAACAGTGTGTTTAATGACTTCAGATGCCATCTGCCCCGTCATTAAAAAGTACTTCTTTATATAAACCCCTCCTGAGTGACTTTGTATTTATATTCCATATAATATGACCAAGATCCAACCACAACGGTATTTTATAATCCCATTTGAGTCGGTGCTTCTTCCATACTCTCATCAAGGAGCTTCTAAGTATATGGCTGTTGAATACTTTATCCACCTTGTTTTCATAAAATAAATATGCATGCCAACCAAATTCAAGATCATAACTTTCTATATTCAATATTCCAGTCTTTGTCCTTCCAAACCAGTCACTTGCTTGTGTAAACGCTGCAGCTTCATAATACAATCGCAGGTTTGGAAGTTTAAGACCATCCCTTTCACGAACATCTTGCATAATTTTCAGTTTAACTCTTGGCTTTTTCTCATTCCAAACAAACTTATTCACTCCTTTTTGCCATTCCATCAAGTATTTGTCACTTTTAAGCACCGGAATCATTTGAAACAAAAATAAAAATCTAGGTAGAACATTCATTTTAACTGCTGCTATTCTTCCAAGTAAAGACAGCTGCAGTTTTTTCCAAGTTTCCATATCCTTTTGTACCTTTCGCCACAACACCTCGTAATTATTTTGAAACAGTTTTATATTTGAATCTGCAACTTGAACTCCTAGATATCTCACCTTTGATACTATTTCAAAGCCTGCCTTCCTTTCCAATTCTTTCTTTTGATCAGCTGTCATATTTTTAACTATCATCTTGGTTTTTTTCTGGTTCAGTCTAAATCCTGATACCATACCATATTCTTCTATAATGTCTTTCATCTGAATTATTGATTCCATCGGCTGTGTTAGGGTAACAACCAGATCATCTGCAAATGCCCTTGTTCTGTAATACTCTTGCCTTATCACTATTCCCTTGAAAGTACTCGAGTCCCGTATTGTATTCAACAAGACTTCTAAGGTTAGAATGAACAACAATGGGGATAACGGACAACCTTGTCTTGTGCCTTTTTCTATATTAAAATTTGTAGTTAAACTTCCATTAATAATAATTTGTGCTGTTTGTTCTTGATAAATTGCTGCAACCGCCTGTACAAACTGATCCCCAAAGTCCATCTTTTTTAAAGTCTTTAATAGAAAGTTCCAATTCACTCGATCAAAGGCCTTCTCCGCATCCAAAAACACCAGCACTGCAGCGATCTGTTTATTCTTCTCAAGTTATTCCAATAAGTCTATAATTTGCCTCACATTATCCTTTGTGTATCTGCCTTCTATAAATCCTGCTTGATCATGATGAATCACCTCTTGAATAACTGGCATTAATCTGTTGGCTAATACTTTCGCATAAATTTTATAGTCCGTATTCAGGAGAGATATTGGTCTAAAATTTTCCGGTTTTATAGAGCCTACCTCTTCTTTCGGTATCAGAGAAACAAAAGCTGCTTTCCATGAAGGGGGTATTTTTCCCCGTTGTTGTATGCTACAAAATAAGTCTTTAAGATGTTCAACCATTTCTGCTTGTAAAGTTTTATAATACACCGCAGTTAAACCATCCGTTCCTGGAGCTTTAGCTGTTTTCAGTTGTTTAATAGCAACAATAATCTCCTCAACTGTTATTGGTAAACTCGTTCTTTCCTTTTGATCATTAGAAATTTTTTATAAATCTCTCTTCTTCTAAATATTTATTTATAAGTTCATTCTGTATATCATCTTTAGCATATAGTTTAGAATAATAATCTAAAAAGGCTTCTTTAATTAGTCTTTGTTGAAATACTTCCTTTCCTCTATACTCAATACTCCCAATAGTCCGAGTACTCTGCTGTTTCCTCAATGTGTAAGCCAACCATCTGCCCGGCTTATGGCATTACTAAATGTATTATGTTTTGCAAATTGTAAATTAGTTGCTGCTTGTTCCGCTGTAAGCGGAATTGATGGAATTCCATCAATGGATATGGAATTGATCTTTCAAAAGTTTTATAACTCCTTGTAATTTTTCATCTGTTGGATTTTTTATAAGCAACTGCTCTTTTTTCTTTATCTCTCCTTCCAATTCTGATCTTTTTCTTTGTCGATTTGACTTGTGTTTAGAATTCATATAAGCCAGTATCCCCCGCATATATGCCTTGCTCGCATCCCAAACAATTTCAATAGGGGTACCCTTATTCAAGTTCATTTCAAAAAATTCCTTCATTTGTTTCTTAAGTTCATTTACATTCTTTTCATATCTAAACAAATTTTCATTTACTCTCCAAGATCTTCTCTCATTCTTTCCCATTTCTATTTCTATCCATACCGGGCTGTGGTCTGATAAAGTTCTCGGAAATAACTTTGTTTTCTTTGTTTTTGCAAGTAAATCAACTGTAAGTAAAATAAAATCAATCCTGGAAAAGGATCTGTGTCTGTCTGAAAAAAAAAGTAAAGTCCAGTTCTTTTGGGTTATGCACTCTCCAAATATCTTTCAATTCCAAATCTTCTTTCAAATATAAAAAAAAAACTGTGGTAGTTTGACATATGATTTTGCCAAGCTTTTCTTATTTATTTTAGGATCTATTACTCCATTCCAATCTCCCATAAGTAAAATAGATCTATAATCTCATTGTAGTATTTTAGAATGCAATAACTTGTAAAAATTTTCTTGTTGCTGATTAGGAGCATAAATTCCAATCACCAAGATTGGACCATTATCTGTAAAAAGTTCTATTGCTATATATCTTCCACAATCATCTGCTTCTATAATTTTTGTTAGCAATCTTTTATTTGTATAAATCACTACACCATTCTTTTTCTCCAAATTTGAAGCTATAAACTGTGTTCCTAATCTAGAATTTATCAAATATTTTTGATCTTGTATTCTAATATGAGTTTCCTGTAAGCAAATAACATCATTATTAGATTGTCTCAAGTAATGAAATATCTTCCTCCTTTTCTGTGGTGAATTCAATCCGTTCACATTCCAAGATAAAAACTTAATTGTCATCTGCAGGCTCTTGAAGCGATAAGAGCATTCACTGAAGTTTCTGTTCCACACTATTAGTCTTCGGCTTAGCTCCTCCCATAGCTTCGGATTTTTGTGCTTTACCATTAACTCCCTGTTCGTCTTGTGATGTCTTAGGGCTCTGATGTTGATCATGTTGTTGTTTCTCTAAAAATTGTTTATAAGCTGCTCGAGTAATACGCTGATCTTTAGCACTATGCAACATCCAATCAAGATCCGCTGCTACTTCTCTTGTGTTTTTAGGTGGTTCAACTAAAGACTCTAAGGGAAGATCCAGCAAAGGTAGGCCCCCTACTGCTCCTTGAGTCTCTAGTGCCTCCCTCTCCGTCTGTTTCCTCTGCTCTTCAAGCTCTTGTTCAAATTGCTTATCCTTCTAACCCTCCATTATGGCTAAGACTGAGGAAGTACATGGAGATGCTGTACCAGGTTTAAAAACACTGAAATAAAATTCTTCCGCTTTTTGAAGAGTATTTAATCTCTCTCCTTGATACCTCAATATTATGCCAATTGGAGTGTCCCATCTGAATGGAATTTGCCGTTTCTTTAGTTCAGTCACCAAAAATCCAAAATCTTTTTTATCTCTCAACATCTTAGGTGGCAGTTCTTTGTAGATCCCAATCTCTCTTCCATCCACTTGAATAGTAGAAACAAAAGATTTTTGTAAAATATCATTTCTTATTCTTCTATCTGTAAAGTAGATCACCACATCTCTAGGCAATTGCCTTTGCCTTGCCACCCAAGAATTCACTCTATAGACCTTATCAATTTTACAAAAAATCTCCTCAGGGTCAACCTTTAACATTACAGCCAGAGCATCAGCACAAACCCTTCTCAGGTCTTCTCTATTGTTCTCTTTTATACCTCTAAGTCTCACAGCAAACTCCATAAATCTAAATTGCATCATTGTCACTTCATTTTCAAGCCTTTGTGTTTTATTATCAACATTAGAAATTTTTTGGTCAGCTTCCTTCATTTTAGATTCTACTTCTGAGCTAAGATGTTCCACTTTCTTATCAACTTGGAGCACTACTTCTGACAAACCAGTCACAGCTGTCAATATTTCCCGTTTCATCTTGTCATACTTTTCTTGAACCATCTCTTTAAATTCCTGCTGTGATTTTTCAAATTTCTGATCTAAAGCCCCAGCAATAAATTCCTTCAAATCATTAAATCCAGATTCTTGTGTTTGGGTCTGTATCTGTGAACTCAAAGGCTGCTCTTTTGGTTTATGATTGGGGGAGCCCCCCACCAGCAGCTTTGGCTGGCTTTGTTTGTTTTGAAGCCATTCTTCGCAGCCTGATTCTTTCTAAAAAAGATATCCTCTCTCCCTTTCCACCACAAAAACCTTTCAAAATTTTCCCCAGCTTTAATCAAGTCTCAAGGGAGAGGGAACAAGTCAAATCACTTTTAAAAAAACTTTTCCTCTTTCTTCTGGCCAGCACTGTTACTTTTTGTTGCTTTGTAGCGCAAATAAGCTCAAACAATTCCACTTTCGCTTTCAGCATTCCTTATTGCTAAAGCCGGGCGCCATTTTAAAAAAAACGTTCACTTCTTCTCAGTTACTAAATTCATTCACAGGGCTAAGAAAAATACTTGCGGTTTAAGTTTCAAGTCCAGATTCCACCCTGCTTCTTTTAACAATTTTCTTGGCTTTCTCTCATTTCGTTGGTCACATCGCCTAGCTCTGCAATTGCAGAGTCACCCTCGGAGCCCGGAGCCTCAGCACGCTGTATAGGGAGCCTCACCCTGCTTCCTCCCCAGACGCTAAAAACAACGATCTGGGGACTTCAAAGGGGGCTCTACCTGTCGCGCCGGCTCTTCTCCCGATTCCTCTGGATCGTGGAGTCTTCCAAGCCGTCTCTCAGCTGTAGAGGCGGCTCTTTACGAGCAACGGGGCTGGCGGTCTTGAAAGGACCGTCTAACAGCGATAACGGCTCCAACCGGAAGTCAAAATGGTAAGTTTTTAATTCCAAACTATTAATCCACTTTGTTGTTTCTTCTGGATTCACTACAGTTTGAAATGTAGTACTCAGAGCTTGATACAATATTGTAATTTCTGCCTAACCAGCACAGAATGAAGACAAACAATGAATTCCATTGAGCTGACATTAGATTTCAGTGCATATGTCCCATTTAAAGTTCAGAGAAAATTGGCAGGGATAAATAACATGTGGTCATTCCAATGTTATTGTACACCAAGTCTTATCACTTCCAGTCAAACATTTTTAGTTCTTCTTTGCATGGTACCTCTAAAGCTTGCTAGTTTAATTGAAGAAATGGTTTGATTTCATTATAACTCATTAAACTGGCTGGTCAGGGCAGTGAAAATGATAACTGTTGCTAGAGCAAAACAATGCTACAAACTGACCCTCATGGCCTTAATTTAACTTAATTTAACTGATCATCCATATCCAGAATTATATAAACATCACAAATAAACCATTTTGCTTAGTAAAATAGTACACAAAAATATATAGTCTTAACTATATTTAGTATTCCTAACACTCATAGTGGAATCTCATAGTTTGTAACTCATTCCTTTCTTATTCCTTATAACTAATGAGGAATATTATACTTCTAAATTGTTAGCAGTTTTTAATGTTTTTATAAACTTACTGACACTGTTCTGAATTAAAAAAAAGCAGACATGAATTTTCATAGATATTTCTCTCTCTCTCTCTCTCTTTTTTTTTTTACTTTTTGAATAACAATATTCTGGAGATGCATGAAGATACTTTCTGCAACATAAGTGAAAATACTTATATTCGTAAACTTCTTGAAGACATTAGATTAGATGGCAATCCCATCAACCTGAGCAAAACTCCATATGCCTATACATGCCCTCCCTGTTTGCCTGTTGGAAGCTACTCCTAAGCTTGGACAGTAAAAGTAGTGTTTTGTAACATTATTTCTTTCACAATAAGATACTGCTTTAAAAACATAGCACATATTATTTTAACACATAGTAATACGGTTTCATTAAGGTAAGGGCCTGGTGGCTCAGCAGGCTAATAGCATTGTGATTAACACCAGCTGTCTGCAATTACTGTAAGTTCGAACCTCACCAGGCTCAAGGTTGACTCAGCCTTCCATCCTTTCTAAGGTAGGTAAATTGAGGACCCAGTTTGTGGGGGCAATAAGCTGACTTTGTATAAATATACAAAAGTATGAAGGCTATTGCTTAACTCATTGTAAGCCGCCCTGAGTCTCCGGAGAAGGGCGGCATATAAATCAAATTTAAAAAAATGAATATATATTTAATCAATAAAATATATACTGATTCTAAATAGTATTGATGTATACTATATACCAGAGGTGGGTTTCAGCAGGTTCTGACCAATTCTGGAGAACTGGTAGCAGAAATTTTGAGTAGATCAGAATAGTAAAAATTCTGACTTGTCCCGCCCCCATCTATTCTCTGCCTCCCAAGTCCCAGCTGATCTGGAGGGAATGGGAATTTTGCAGTATCCTTCCCCTGGATTGGGGTGGGAATGGAGATTTTACAGTATCCTTCCCTTGCCATGCCCAAGCCATGCCCTCCAAGCCATGCCATGCCCACCAAGCCACACCCACAGAACCGGTACTAAAAAAATTTGAAACCCACCACTGCTATGTACAGTGTTTCTATATGGTCTTGTAAACAATACAGGTAGTCCTTGACTTACAGAAGTTCATTTAGTGACATTTCGAAGTTACAACTGAAAAATGTGACCTATGACCAGTTTGTCATACTTCTGACCATTGTAGTATCCCATGGTTACGTGATTTACATTCAGATGCTTGACAACTGGCTCACATTTATGACTGTAGTAGTCCTCAACTTACAACAGTTCATTTAATGACTGTTCAAAGCTAAAACGGCACTGAAAAAGTGATTTATAATCATTTTTCATACTTAAGACATTGCAGCATCCCCATGGTCTCATGAAACAAAACTTGGATGCTTGGGAATTGGTTCATATTTATAATAGTTGCACATGTCCTGGGATCATGTGATCACCTTTTGTGACCTTCTGACAAGCAAAGTCAACTGGGAAACCAGATTCACTTAACAATTATATTACTAACTTAAGAAACGTGGCAAGAAAACTTTTAAAATGGGGCAAAATTCACAAATTTCTCACTTAACAATATACATTTTAGACTCAATTATGGTCGTAAGTTGAGGACTACCTGTATAGATAGTTGAAATGATTGGTGAAGGGGTAAGTAGAAATGTTAGAAAAGCTAGGTATTCATGATTACCATTTTACTATTTTTTATTGATTATATGCCATCAAGTTGATATCAACTCTATTAGAGATCACATAAATGAACCTTTTCCAAGATGATCTGCCCCAAACTAGCTTTTCAGGTCTTCTAATGTATCCACCACTACTGAGTCTGTCCCTTTTCCTGTAAACCATCATCTTCTTTTCTTCTATCTTTTCATCATTGTAGACGTCTCGATACAGCTAAGTCTTCTCATATTATGTTCAAAATGTAATCATCCTACATGAATTAAAATTGTAATAGTAAAACTATAAAAATCCAATGAGAGTAGTGATTTATGAATTGTGAATTCATGAATTCTGATTCATGAGTTATGAATTATTCATTTATGAATCACATTATTTTGATTTTTATTATATTTTATAATCCCAACATATGCACTTTTTTTTTTTAACTAAGAAGACCATAAGAGCCATGCTGGAGGAAATCAAAGTTTCATAAAGTCTGCAATACTTCGTTTAAACTGATGCCAATTAGACACAAGATAAAACTATTTTGCATTAGTTTGTTTAATATTTAACATTAAAAAGGCTTGTGTTCTTTTGTAGAATTGTAAATTCTTTATTGCAGTAAAAGAGCAGTATATAGAATCAGTACATAATAAAATTCAATAATGTAAAACAAGCTGCATATATAGATATAATAAAATCCGGATGTATCAGTCAATGCATTTTACATGTAACATACTAGAATTTACCTACGCTTAGCATGCTGGCATCATATATACATAAAATTGGTCAGAATGAATGGTAAATTTGCTTAAATATGAATATCACAACTCAGCATGTGCCACAATGAAATGGGAAGACGAGGAAATGTGGAAAACGTGGATAAACAATATGTACCACTGAGTATGTGTGCAGTTTTTTTCTTTTTTCTTTAATAATAATAACTCAATTAACTTAGATTTCCCCAACCCGTAATTCTCCAAACTCCCATCAGACCAACCATTATGAAATGTGGACTACATAAAAATGAATTTAAAAAATACTTCTAATATCTTCACAGTAAAACTGAGCAAATATATTAAATACTTATAGAAATGTGCATGACCAAACACATAGCATAAACTATATAAATGTTGTTGTTCATATATTTAATATTGTAATAAGTGAGACATTTTCAAGTACAAAAGTTGGTTTCTTAAAAGCTTAAATTCTTAGAAGACCAAGATCTTTTTATAAGAGATAGGCATGTCCTTAAAGTCTTAGTTCTTACATCCCTCATGATTTTAACAATAGTTTGCAATAGTGTTAAGGATGCATGTCATATATCCTTACATGTGGTGGACCAGAGATTAGAATACAGGTTGTTGTGAGGAAAATAGGGAGCGGAGAAAGCAGTATTAGATATGTTTACCATTTGAGTTATTTATCAAAATGTGAGAGAAGGAAGGAAGGAAGGAAGGAAGGAAGGAAGGAAGGAAGGAAGGAAGGAAGGAAGGAAGGAAGGAAGGAAGGAACTTAGGAAGTCAGTTTCTCTCTCACACACACACACACTCTGTCTCTCTCTCTATCTCTCTTTCTGTCTCATACACACACATGCTGCAAGTGCTCTGAATGTGCTTCATTTACCCAAATTTATGTCATGATTATTTTGCAATCTAGTACTGCCCTCATGTGTTAAAACAGCATAAAATATCTAGCTACCAACATAAATTATGAAAGTTGTAGTCCAAAACATCTGGAGGTTGGGTAAAATGCTGCACTGTATCAATATTCATGAGCTCTTTGATCAAAGTGTCTAAAGCAATGTTTCTCAACCTTGGCAACTCCCAGAATCCCTCAGAGTTGAAGTCCACACATCTTCAAGGCATTAGAGTTGACAAACATTGGTCTAGAGATGGTCTAGAGAATAAAATTTAGCAAAATTTAGATGAAGTTAGAAAGAATGAGGGTGAGAGAGATTTCCTGTATGTTTTTGTAAAGTTTCTTTTTAGGGGAAAGAAAAGGCATTTGTTTTTTAAATGATTACATTCAGTTCTAGTGAAAACTGTCAATGCAGCACATGCTAGAACTAGAATCTTTGCATCTCTTAACTGCCAAATTATCAGAAGTTAATGCTCAAATGTCATTTGGAATGTTTGGAATTATACATGTCCAAAATATGCAACTAAATACAGACAGATGATAAAGGAGATACAGAATGAATAGCAAACTTTTAGTCTTGTTTGAAAAAAAAAATGAATCCCATAATTTTCAAAATGACTCGCCTAAAAATTTTTGTGGCTCAAGCACAAAGGATGACATAGTATCTCCATTGCAACTGGCAGTGCATTTTATTTCGACAATCTCATATATCAAGCTTAAAAACCAGGCATGTCATATGAATGGCAGCTTGGTTTGGTCCTAATCACTCAATATTTGTTGCCTGAGATTAGTGTCTTACTTTGTTTAAAGACACAGCTGGCTCTGGTTCAATGAATAAATTTACCATCTATTCTAGGGAATGAAAAAGGTTTAGTCCTTTTTTCTACTTTATATGGAAGCCTAATTACTTTATCTTGCATTTACTGGAATTATTGAGGTATTTGATAATTGTTTAAACCCATATTCTAATGGCTTGGACCTTATGTTCCATGTGAAAAGTTTTATTTAAGGTTTGTCTTCCTGCTTCTTGCTGAAGTCTCTACAATTCCTATATTAACAGTTGAAGAACATCTTGAATGATCTGCAAGGATTTTCAAAGAAGATGTCATAAAAAACAAGGGAGAAACATATTATGCTAAGTTAGGGTTCCAAAAATTATTTTGGGTTAAATTATATTTGGCTAGAAAATGTACATTAACATGCCTATTATAGAGCAATTATATAAGGGCAGATGTTATAGAATCTCAGGCAAATAAATTGGTTTTGCTTTCATAGGATTTCAGGCAAAAGAATACTACCAGCATGGTCCTATTTCAGTTTGCTGGCCATTGGAATGCCCAGTTTCAGCCACGCCCATTGCTTTATGATTGGTTCCTTGTTGTCTAGGGTGATGAAGATGCTTTGTTCAATCTACACAGCAGTCCCAAGAGGAAAGAGGTCACCAACGTCAGTGGTGTGACAACAAAAACCTATTGAGTCTGGGTTGAAGCAATACCTCAGATCAGTATTTGATTGTGTTACAAGCACAATACAAGGCTAAGAGGAGAGTCACAAATGAGAAGGAAGAAAAAGAAGTCAATCAGGAGTTAGGCTGTTGAACAACTGATAGTGAGTACCCATCTCATTAAAAGCAGAAGAAGCAAAAAAACTGCCTTATATATAGCAAACAACACAACAATAACAACAACAACAAGGACATCTTGGTAAGGAGATCTCTGGCAAGAGAGCAAATATAAAAGGTGAAGAAGATCCTATTTACAACAGGGTTCCCACCATTCTCCAGCTAAGATGTGGAGACAAGGGCGACTGTGTTATCTGCAGTTGTCTTTGCAACAAGGATATCACAATCAATGGCCTGTGATGGCGGGGAGAGCAGCAAATGCAGGAAAATACAATCCCAGAGGGTCTCACTGCAATCATTATAATACTAAAATTCAGCGGTACAAAGGTAATCTATCCTCAAAATGGAAGAATTGCAGATTTTCTAGAAATGGTAGATTGCGGAAGAAGAAA